ATTTGATTCTATGAATTTCTTTATTCCATCCTTAATTTCTTCTATAAGCCAGTAGTTTTTGAGCAAGGTGTTGTTCAGTTTCCATGTGTTTGATTTTTTTCCGTGCTTTTTTTTTTCCCTTGCCATCCCTACTATGTTGACTTTGCGTTTCATGTCAACTTGCTGTAATAGTTATAAATATCCCCACATAATAAAAGCTAAAACCTATTACCATAGAGTCAATTCCAACTCAAAGCAACTCTATAGAACAGACTGGAACTGCCCCATAGGGTTTCCAAGGCAGAAAATCTTTACGGAAGCAGTCTACCACATCTTTCTCCTGCAGAGTGGCTGTTGGCTTTGAACTGCCGACCTTTCGGTTAGCAGCCTAGCACCACCAAGGCTCCTTAACTAGCTCAGACAGATATGCTAAAATCCCTAGTCAGTCGTCACATTTCTTCATCATCATGGCACAGTAGTTAAGCACTCAGCTGCTAACCAGAAGATCAGCAGTTTGAACCCATTGGCCACTCCATGGGAGAAAGATGTGCAGTCTGCTTCCATGAAGATTGACAGCCTTGGAAATGCTATGGGGCAGTTCTACTCTGCCCTACAGGGTTGCTAAGAGTCGGAATCAACTCGATGGCAGAGGGTTCGATTTGGGGTTTTGGGTGACTGGAACTAGAGATATAAAGATGAATAAGACAGAAGCACTCAGCTGCTAACCAAAGGTTGACGGCTTGAACCCACCCAGCAGCTCCATGGGGGAAAGATCCTGCAATCTGCTTCTGTAAAGATTACAGCCTAGGAAACCCCATTGGGCAGTTCTCCTCTGTCACATGGAGTCACTATGAGTCGAAAGACCCAATGATACCTAACATCAACAACAACAAAGACAGAATACTCACAAGAAGAAGGAGCATTGGGAGGTGGGATGTTTGAGGTTTAGGGGATGGGAGACATTAGATAGACAACTACAATACAGCACCATGAGATAGGGGCACTAGCAAAGTGTGGAATAAGGGCCACGGGAACATAGCAAGAGAAGGGCTCAGTGTAGAGCCATGCAGGTGAAGCTGTGCAGGTGTAGTGGGAGTGGGAGAGAGAATATAGGCAGAGAGGTGTAGGGTTTCTAGAGGGACTTCACTAAACAAGTATGAAGTTCACCTGGAAGAATCCATGTGTGTATGACAATAAAAGGAGCCCTAGTGGCGCAATGGCTAAGCACTCGGCTGCTAACCAAAAGGTCTATGGTTCAAACCCACCATCTGCTCTGCAAGAGAAAAGACCTGGCAATGTGCTTCTGTAAAGATTACAGCCCAGGAAACCCTTTGGGGCATCACTGACAACAATGACAATAAAAGTTTGAAATAGAAGAATAACAATGGGACAGGGGATACTGTTCTACAGGCATTCTTACATTGAATTATTTTATGTAGAAAGACAATAATCAACGAAACAAAATGCCTTTACACTGGATTTAGGTTTGAGAAAAAACTGTCAGAAATAACATTATGAAAAAGCCCTAATATAAACGATAAGAGAACAGTGAGATTCTCTCTGTCACCATAAACACGTAGTATGCTTTTACAGATCTTCACAGAACACACTTTTAAGTAAGAGTTCAGCCCGCTTTAGTGCTGAATCATCCAAATCAGCTAACACAATGTTGGAATCTTAGTTTTCAAACAAACTACTATATTAAATAATAATAATTAAAAAAAAAAAAAACAGAGCTTCAAGTCTTGAAACTAATTCTAGCATAAAGGTCTTTACAGGAAAGAAAAACTAACAAATTTCATTAGCAGCGGGAACGTGCTTCTCTCTTTGTCCTGTGGCGCTGAGAAAGGGAACAATAAGAGAAGTTAAAGCACTTCCCCTGAGGACGACAACCCTGTGTCCCAGTCTCTTCTCTAGGATTGTTTTTGTGCTTCCCTATCCTGCTTCTGCCAAGTGCTTTATCCTTCCTGAGATCACCCCACTCTCACCATGGTGTTAAAACAAAAAGCATATTAAGCTAATACTAGAAATTGATTAAAGTTTATTGAATACATGATTTGCAAATTGGGGTAGCATTTTGACTACAGAATCAAAAATGTTTCGAAGATAAGAGAGCCTCCAAAGACGCTTATACCTCATCTTATTAACATTGCCATGGAAAAAGGGCCAGAAAAGAACTGATAATCAATTTGTGGTCAGGAAGGATTTCAAACAGCATTGTCTTGAAGAGCAATTAAAATAACTACTGATTAACCTAAAACATAACTCTAGTCTGGCCTTGGAGTTTCTGTAATCAAAACTGCACGTACATAATTCTTTTAAAAGAGCAGGATGACTAAGGCAAAATGGTCTTTGCTAATTTATCTAGACCATTTGTTTGATTGCAAAGTGACTTTTAGAAACCAGTTTCTTCATGGCTCAAGTTTCAAAAGGACATTCAAGAGCAATGGGTTACCCCAACTCAATGGACCCGCAAAAATCTGGATTCCAGCAGAATTAAAACTGTTTCTCAGTGAATAAAGATATATACACACATAGTCTCTCTCTCTCTTTTTCTCTCTCTGATTTACACACAGAGATTCTATTTGTTTTCTATTTGCAGTAATTTTGAAGCCCATGAATCACAATAAAAATTAACAGGTTTCCTTTTAATCACCAAGATTTCTTTAAAAGGAAGAAAAAAAGTAAAAACGAAACTGAAACCATTTTTTCACACCCTGACTCAAGGATACATTCATGTTTTTCTGCCACAAAAGCAGACAGAGCCTGGGCTGGAGCTGTGAGTCACCAGCCTGCTGGATTCAGGGAAGGAACTTACTCTATATTCAGGTCTCTCTGGAGCAACCTGAAGACAGGAGCTTGGCCTCAAGCATACGGGTAAGTGAAAAAGAAGGAGGGAAATGGCATAGACAGAGATACAACAACAGGCCCAGAGACTAAAATAGGAGTAGAAATTGATGAAAGCAGGCAGAGGGAGCAGAGTCAAAGACACAGGGAGAGTATGACATGCTAAGAACACAAATATGTATTTGACATGATTACTGTTCAAAAATCAAAGCTACAAATCTGGGGGAAATGAGAATATTGAGAAACATTTTGATCATTTGTATTGTCAAAAACAAATCCGGATTTAGGTAAGGAGAAACTTTATTTGAAAGGATTATTGCAATAAGGGGAAGGGAATCTTATAATAGGAGAATGGTCTTGACTGTAAGATCTGAAAGCATCACAAAGGTCAGGCAGAAAGGAATTGTATTTTATGCTGTTGTTAGGTGCTCTATAGTCGGATCCAACTCATAGTGACCCTAGGTACAACAGAACGAAACATTGCCAGGTCCTGTGCACCCTCACAATCATTGCTATCTTTGAACCCATTGTGGCAGCCACTGTGTCAATACAACTTGTCCAGGGTCTTCCTCATTTTCACTGACCCTCTACTTTACCAGGAGCCCTGGTGGCACAGTGGTTAAAGAGCTTGGCTGCTAACCAGAAGGTCAGCAGTTTGAATCCACCAGAAGCTCCTTGGAAACCCTATGGAGGAGTTCTACTCTGCCCTATAGGATCAGTATGGATCGGAATCGACTGAATGGCAGCGGGTTTGGGTTTTGTACTTTACCAAGTGTGATGTCCTTCTCCAGGGACTAGTCCCCCCCTGGTAACACGTCCAAAGTAGGGTGCAGGTAAAGTTTAACATTGTCATCATGTAATACAGCTGCAGCATAACTGGGGGAGGGCAGGAGGGTTGCAGAGAGCACCGAATGACACTGTCAGAGGGAGTGACAGCGTGCGAGGCAGCCAGCCAGGCCTGCGGGGCGGCATGGGGCTGCGTGTCCTGCCACAGGCGGGGTCCAAACGTGGACACACAGGTGCCCACCTGCAAGCAGGAGCCCACCTCCACACGCATGCCTGGGCCCTTTGCACCGCCCTCTTCCCCTCCCCCACCCGCCCCCAATAGCGCAGCCACAGCGCTCCTGCCAGGCCTCAGAGGACTGGCTCAGCGGCTCATCTTCCTCCACCTCACGGCCCGTGGGAGACTGGCCCTTTAAGAACCCCACCCCGGACTGCCCTCCTCCCTCGTGTGACGGTGCCGTGACCCGCGATGGGCGTTCGAGTTGGGCGGCCTTCGGAATTTTCTCCCGCAACTCCAGGCAGGGCGCCCCACCCCAACTGGGGTGGGGATGGGCCGCGTGACCGCTGCCCCTAGAGGGATGTGCCAGACGCACGCACGCTAGCCTGGCGGGGGTGGGGAGGGGGTGTCGGTGCAGAGCGCCTCAAGGCGCTAGAAGAGCCCTCTGCCCCAGGGCCTCTTCTCCTTCCCCTTCTGGGCCCGGTGGCTTCACTCTAACCCTTTGCATTGCCACCCGGAGCTAGCTGCGCAGCTGCGGGATTTCTCTGCCCCGCCAAAGAGCTAGCTAAGCCTGTGCAACAAAGGGAAACTCGAAAGCCAGTGACTCTGGGGTGGAGGTACCCGTAGGTTGCAGCATGCCTAAGGTGGCCGTAGAAGCGGCGCGGAGCCGCTAGAGAGCACTCTTCGGGACTCCGTTCCGCCATCCATTCCCGCCCGTTGGTCCAGGAGAGCAAAGTCCTGTCAGGCGCCCGGGCTCCGGGGGCCAGGGCCCGTCCACTGGCTTCTCTGGCCTTCCGGCCCCGTGACCTCCGGGCTCAGATGTCGAGCTTCTCACGCGAGCTCGGACTCCGTAACCCCGGGGAAGGAACTCATCACCCACCAGCCCCGCCTGTGCTGTGGTTTTACAGGGCAGGGAGGCACTTTGCATAGCCAGGGAATTATGATTTACATTAGTACAAAAAACATTACTGAGGATTCTGTATGGTCTGATACGAAATGTCGTCCATGGGCAGAAGGGGGAGGGGGCGGTGACACCAACCCTAGTGATGCCACTGTAATAGAGGGTGCTATTGGAAGCACAGAAAAGAGTCGATTACTAGACCTGGAAGATTAATGGAAGGCTTCACAAAAAAGAAGAAATTTAAGCAGGGTCAGGAGTATACAGCCCCAGGCAGAGAAGGTGGGGATATCATATACAGAATCAAAAAACTCCATGAGGTTGAGGGAAGATGGAAGAGTGGCCTCTAAAGGAAGAGAGTGATTTTGGAGAAAATTTATTTAGCAAATTAAGTTCTCAGGTAACAATTTCTATACATATTATTCAGTGACATTGATTACACTTTTCACAATGTATCAGCATTCTCATTATTTCCATTCTGGCTGTCTTGTTTCCCCCTTACCTTCTGATCTTTGGTCTAGTGTAAATGTAGACTGTTAGGTCTCATTTAGATGATTGTTTAGAGGAGCATAGTTAGCCATGGGTGATATTATTTTCTGAGCCATTCTGTCTTTTGGCTGATAGAGGACTTCCGAAAGTGGTTTGTGTTCCAAGTTTAAAGGGTATCCCAGGGTGATAGTCTCGGGGTTACTCTAGGCCATACTAGTCCAGTAAATCTGGACTTTTTTAGGAATTTGAGTTGTGTTCTACATTTTTTTCACATTCTATCCAGGACCATCTATTGTGTCCCTGGTCAGAAAAGTCGGTAGTCATAGCTGCGCACCACCTACTTCTTCTAGTCTCAAGGTAGATGAGGCCATGTTTCCTGTAGAGTATTAGTCCTGTAGACTAGTTTCTTCTTTGAGTCTTTGGTTTCCTTCTTTCTCTTTTGCTCCAGACATGTAGAGACCAATAACATATCTCAGATGGCTGCTTGCAAGCTTTTAAGACCCCAGGCGCTACTCACCAAACTATGATATAGAACATTATAAGCTATGTTATGCCAACTCACCGAAGACTATGGTCCTAAACCCTCAAACCCAGTAACCTAATCCTGCGAGGTGTTTGGATATGTTTAGGAAGTATCCATGACGGTGCCCCCATGTGCTTTATTTTATATATGAATATATATACAGCACACACAAATATGTATATATATTTGTCTACAAAACCACCTTTGCATACACACGTATACTCATATGAGCTTACCTAAACATATATAAGCATACATATCTACCCTATGTAACCACACACATACTTTCTGGCTATTATTACCGTCGTCGTAAAAGTGTATATTTTGTGGCTTTTACCAAAATTATCCCTTATTCTTCCATACTTCTGAGTGTCATCTTTTACCTTGGTCAAGTTGTGCTGACTTCACCTGTATTCAGTATTGTGTTCTTGTTGTTGCTGTTACGTGCCATCAGGTCGGTTCCATCTCATAGAGACCCTATGTACCACAGAACGAAACACTGGCCAGTCCTGTGCCATCCTCACAATCGTTGTTATGCTTGAGCCTATTGTTGCAGCCACTGTGTCAATCCATCTCCTTGAGCGTCTTCCTCTTATTCGCTGACACTGTGCTTTACCAAGCATGATGTCCTTCCTCTGGGACTGATCCCTCCTGACAACATGTCCAAAGTGTGTAAGACGTAGTCTCGCCATCCTTGCTTCTAAGAAGCATTCTGGTTGTACTTCTTCTAAGACAGATTTGTTCATTCTTTTGGCAGTCCATGGTATATTCAATATTCTTTGCCAACACCACAATTCAAAGACGTCAATTCTTCTTTGGTCTTCCTTATTCATTGTCCAGTTTTTGCATGCATATGATGCAATTGAAAATACCATGGCTTGGGTCAGACACACCTTAGTCTTCAAGGTGCTATCTTTGCTTTTCAACACTTTAGAGAGTTTTTTTGCAGCAGATTTGCCCAGTGCAATACATTGTTTGATTTCTTGACTGCTGCTTCCATGGGTGTTGATTATGGATCCAAGTAAAATGAAATCCTTGACAACTTCAATCTTCTCTCCATTTACCATGGCATTGCTTATTGGTCCAGTTGTGAGGATTTTTGTTTTCTTTATATCGAGGTGTAATCCATACTGAAGACTGTGGTCTTTGATCTTTATCAATAAATGCTTCAAGTCCTCTTCACTTTCAGCAACCAAGGTTGTGTCATCTGCATAACACAGGTTGTTAATGAGTCTTCCTCCTATTCTGATGCCCTGTTCTTCTCCATATGGTCCAGTTTCTCAGATTATTTGCTCAGCATACAGATTGAATAGGTATGGTGAAAGGATACAACCCTGATGCACACATTTCCTGACTTTAAACAACACAGTATCCCTTTGTTCTGTCCAAACAACTGCCACTTGATCTATGTACAGCTTCCTCATGAGCACAATTACGTGTTCTGGAATTCTCATTCTTCTCAATGTTATCCATAATTTGTTATAATCCACACAGTCGAATGCCTTTGCATAGTCAATAAAACACAGGTAAACGTCTTTCTGATATTCTCTGCTTTCAGCCAGGATCCATTTCACATCAGCAGTGATATTCCGGGTTCCATGTCCTCTTCTGAACACAGCCTAAATTTCTGGCAGTTCGCTGTTGATATACTGCTGCAGCTGCTTTTGAATGATCTTCAGCAAAATTTTACTTGTGTGTGATATTAATGATATTGTTCAATAATTTCTGCATCCGGTTGGATCACCTTTCTGGGAAATAGGCATAAATACGGATCTCTTCCAGTCTGTTGGCCTGGTAGCTCTCTTCCAAATTTATTGGCATAGACGAGTGAGAACTTACCCATTACTAAAACTGACAAGTGTCTTCTATCTAGAAAGTGATTCCGCTTCCCTCTCCTCCCATCCCTGATAACTACCATAGAATGTTGCTTTCTGTATGTATACCTGTTGTTGTCTTTTTATAATACTGAAGTCATACAGCATTTGTCCTTTTGTGATTGTTTCACTCAGCATAATGTCCTCCAGGTTCATCCACATTATGGTATATTTACATAACTAATCATTATTATTTATGGCTGTGTAGTATTCCACTGCGTGTATGTATCAAAGTTTGTTTATACA